GGATCGAGTGACAACTCTTCTCCTTCTCTTCACTTTGCCTCCCCTCCTGCCGTAGCTCTCCACGGCCTACTTCCTCTTCTAACTTCTGATCAACTAAACTACGACTATTACTGACCTTAGATTCAAGGTCGCCCGTAGCAGAAACCCGCAGGTAGGATCTTCCCTCGTTCAATTCTATCAAGAATCGGGCGAGGTAAGCATTTCCCCCATCGCCGCACTCACCTTCCACTTTCGGCTGCACCTGGCGCAATATGGCGCTCACCTTCATTCGTCCTTCGCTTCATTTGTTCCTTCTCTATGTGTCCGCCCCGCCCTGCATCGTTTGGTCACAGAACTTTATACAGCCAACCTGCTCCTCCGCTGCGCCTTTCCCCGAGTGGATCCGGCGCGGAAACGCGCCTGGATTCATTCCCTCCGTCGTTCCCCGATACCTCCCTACCGCTGCCCGTCTCCCTACTTTGCCAGCGCCCACCGTCTATCACCCGTCGCACGGCTCCGCCAGCGCTCCGACTCCTACCCACAGTCGGATAGTATCCTACTGGCAGCCTTAGTGCTCGTCCGCAAGTCGTTCGCAGAGTGCCGTCCGACCACGCCACCCATTTCTGAGGGGAACTTCGGAGGGAACCAACTACTAGACGGTTCGATTAGTCTTTCGCCCCTATACCCAAGTTCGACGAGGTAGTCGGCACGACAGCATTGCTGTTGCCTGATCCCGCCCGGTTTTACCCATCCGCTTCACATGTACGTGCGGCAGAACCCCGGACAGGTTCATTCGCCGCAGTGTCGAGGCCTTTCGGCCTGTGTTTGGATAGTTCTTGGGTACACCCACTGCCCGTGGCTTTGCTCAATACAGCGCCTAGCGCCCGTAGCCACGCCAGTCTTCTCTGTATCATTCCAATTTTTACGGACATCCTGAAGGACATAGCCTAGGCCGCGGGGTCAATCAGCCCCGACCCTCAGACAATTCGGAATATTCGGTTTTTACTCATCAAGGCCCATCATCTGGTTTGAACACGGTCTGTATTTCAACAGTTCAATGGTGTTCCCAGTGAGCTAGGCTCTTGGGGCCTGTCACACCCCTACTACGCCGCGTCCCAAAGCAAAACGGGACGCGGTTTTTAAGAAAAACAGGTAAACAAAAATTATATAAAAGCACGGGCAGCTCAGGTCGCGGAAGCAGTTTGTAATTGCAGTTCAGGCAATCTGCGAATACAACACTCCCCCACGCGTTCCTACCGCAGTCTCGCGTCCCAAGACGGGACGCAATGAAAGGGAAAGCAAAATAAAATAGCAGTAACGTCGGGGAACCGCGGGGGCGCTGGCACCTCGCCAGTCCTGCGGATCGGGCCTGCCGCCGCACCCATAAGCAAAACCGAGGGCGATAGCCCCACAGGGCCCTCACCCTTTTGGTTTTCCTCCACGCCGCTCTGCTACTGTCGCGCCGGCGTCCGCTGGCCTCGATCCCCGAACCTCTGTATTGCCAACCCAAATGTCGTAACCTATAGGTCCAAGCCCAAACCTGAGACTAGTGCCCGCAGAGTACCATACGGGGTAGTGTAGCGCGGCGCTTATGGGCCAACAAACCGGCTGCGCGGCTCCCAGTGCCCGCACCGGCTGGCTCACACCGTGCCATAATTGCCCCGCGCGCCACCCTACGACACCCCGCTCACCGCACAAAGTCGCGTCATCGTTGCCGATCCCGCGGTCGGGGTTGTTCTCCGCACGCGTGCTCGACTCAGTCAAATGTAGCCGTCGAAAGAAAATATCCCCTCGGTCCTAGTTTAATCAAGAGTAACCAAAAATAAAAACTTAAAGATAAAATGAATAAATTTAAACAGACTGGCGCCCGCGCCGGTTTCGTAATCAACATAAAGAAAGAATTTTGCGCGCCTTAAACCTGCACGCCCACGCACTCTGTACTCTAGTCAGCCTTCCAGTCAACGTGATCACAGACACAACCGTGCCTGACGCGGTATACTTAACTTTAAACCAACCATTTTCTACCACTTGCATAAACCAGGGCGAATACCCTTATAAGGGTATTCGCGCTGACAACTTACCGGACCATATTAAGTGACGTCCTCGTCGCTTTGCATGATCAAGGCTATCAATTCAACCACAATTCCAACGTGTTGACGAGCAGGGTACCAATCCGATTAACCGACAGACCCAGGGTTGAGGCCTCCAATAATCCATGCCAAACACAACTTTATGGTGCCAGGATTCTAACCTGGGTCTCCGTCGTCCTCATAGTTGGACATCAGGGTACTCGTCATTGTACTACAACATAAGTTTCATTGGATCTCTCACCCTCTTCCCTGTGTCTTAGACAACCGCCGGCTCCTCGTTGTATGTTCCTAACCTTTCGCCTGTAAACAGGTTGTGACTAGGGACGAGGGCCCTAACCGAGATCTTTGAAGGCATCCTTTCGCTTTCCTCCCAAATTTTTTACATCAAGCATATATATATATATATATATATCATATAAATCTTCACATAGATTCTTCCTGCATTTTAGTACAGGAAGGCTAGGTCTCCATCCTGGCCCACCATACTCTGGGTGATCATGCCAGATCTACGGCCCACGACATTGTTATTTAGCGGTAGTGCCTTCGCGGGTTGCGCCACGATAGACTTCTCCTGAAAAGCATTCAATCAGGACTACCTAAAAAAAAACTCATATGACTCGACTCTTATCCCACGCCTCTTCGCAGGAGTAAAACCGTCCTATGCGTTCACGTCCTTTTAAGTCTTTACTCCCTTGACCAGACGCAGACCCTCTGCTTAGGTTGTGCAAAGCAGCGGCCAACACTAAGGGTTGTGCCCTTGTGATGCTAGTTATACTCCTAGCCGAGTCTCTTATAAGTGTCCAAGATTAGCACAAGCGGCCGAACGGTGTGTCGCAATAATACAAGCCTACTGTGGGACTACGCATATACTTGTCACACATAAAGGTATTTACCAGTCCCTCTGCGGGACAACACAGAGGAAGCACGACAACCTTCCCATAATCACAAAACAGAATCACTGCCAGGTTCACAAGGTCGTGGTCTCCCAGCTTGATCAGAGCAAGAAAGCCACACATCTTGATGACATCTCTTAAAATGCACCATTTGCGACATTCAAAAATTCCACCAATAGTCTAATAAACTTAGTCCCTCTCGTCAGTCTTTTATTACCCAAAAAAACAATCTTCCAATTATCGATCTTATTAACCACCTCATATATAAAGTAGGTCTCACTTCAATAGGTCTCCCAACCATCCCTCTCTTTCTAGGATGGACTTTCTCACGACCTTTTCTTCAACACATCTCCCCTCTCTGAAGATGAGTCATTCAATCAAACAATTAACTACCTTCCCATTAAGAAGTGTCCCAACCATAACACAATTCATATGAGGAGACCAACTCCTGGGTCTTTTGCACAATTCAAACAACAAAACATTCACTATAAATATTCGGGATCTTCACATCTCTTTTTCACAAATACGACTGCACTGCCTCCCCTTATACCCTGCCTTATTTTTTGCCCAAGGGCAGATCGCACAAGTATACCGAGGAGTAAACAGTTTGTTTACAATCACATTCACAATATACATGGCAAAATAAGATGTTTCTCACACATTGTCCACACAAACTCATCATACATCAGAGTACAACCACACATGTGAGAGAGACAAGTGATCGTCACATATAAAGAATGGTCCCTGAAAAAACCTCATCATAATATACACTCAGGGAATAAAATGACTCACACAGAAAGTGTCCCCAAATCATAGCTCACTCAGCTCAAGCCACAACAAACTCACACTGACAACTATCCCTAAAATACATGTCAAATCTGTCTCTCAAAGGCCAGGTGTAGGCCACCCAAATATATACATGCCTCATCTAGATCACCCTGATCCTCAAGACCCCAACTCAGTAGGAACACAAGAATTCAAATCCAGACTAGTAACAATCGTCAAAAGGTCCTCTAAGTCTAAGAGGGTATCACACAGAGCCTAAGCTGACGCCTCACAAGATATCCAACCAAATAACATAGGCGAACCAGCCCTACTTCCTCATCTCCTCCTGGTTTTGCCTATATAACTGAGCCCTAAGTCCATCTGCGGACTTCTCTACCATCCTACCTTGTCTATCGTAGATCTTACCCCCTGTCTCTGAGGCTTTCCCTTCTGCCTTATCCTCAAGGAACTCGAGACAATCCAGAGCCTGATGCTCGCCCTCCTTGCTGTAGAAGCATATCCGATCAACCTTCCTCTTGAACTTCTTATTCTTGGGCTGAGGAGGTGGCGATGAAGGGGATCCTACCATAGTGCTGACAACCCCCTCCTACTTTCATCGAGGGGCTGCAGCACTTACAACCTCCTACTGCTCTATCCCAGGAACCGGTACCCCAGACCCAGATCCAGTAGCCCACGATCCCAGTCTGCTCCTCAAATCCCCTGTCGCTGGGACGCACTCAGGCGCGTCTAACCTCTGAGGTCTCCTCTCGAGCATCTCTCCTGGCACCACCATGGGCTGCTCAATCCCCTCTGGCTCATACTCAGGCGTGCCCAACCTCTGGAGCCCGCCCTCGATGACAACCTCCGTCTCAATCCCCATCTCTCTCTCAAGAGGCTCCTCTATCCTCTGCTCAGGCGGAAACAAACTCGCCTCCTCCTACATAGTATGCACTGCCTCAAGGAGCACGCCCATGGATCCCTCCGTTGAGCCTTGAGCCAGCTCACTGCTAGATGGTGGTAGCCTCTCCTCAACTGCTGAAGGTACAACTAGGCCCGCCACTGCTACCGGCAGCGTCGCGAGCTCGGTATGGGCTCTGAACTCGAAGGCCTCTCTCTCCGCCTGTCTCCGGGCTCTCGCCTCCTCTGGCTCCAGGATAACTCTCCCCATAGGTGGCTCCTGGCGAGGCCCTGCTGCAGATAGCTGTCCTGACAAACCCTGCCCTGGCTGCCTCTGCTCTCCCTGTCGGCTGCTCTCTAGCTTGTCTACCTTTCCCTGAGATTGCTGCCCCAGGCTCTCGATGATAGCTGCCTGACTGGCCACCAATGCCCTGAGCTCCTAGATTTCCACCTCCATAGCCTCCAGGAGTACTCCATAGCCTTCTTCCTTTGTCTTCTTCCCTGCCATATCGCTTTCCAATAAAAAGTGCTGGTCAAAAGTCGTCTTGGCCAGGAACTTGATTTTGTGATCCAACCTTTCTTCCACCTTCCTTGCCACCCCAAACCCCGCTCTGGTTGGCGAAGGAAGCTCCTCTCCTCTCTGCTCCCAGAAGTCCCTCCACATCTCCGGGATCTCCGAGGCCTTAGCTGGCACGCTGGGCGGTTGATCCGGGAGCGCCCCTTCTGCCTCCAATCTCTGCCTCTCCTGCTGCTGCTCCGGAAGTGTCCCCGCCGCCTCCAATCTCTGCCTCTCATGCCATATCTCTTCTATCCTCCTGGTTCTTCTAGCCCTCTTTCCTTCAGTTGTCTCTCCAGCTGACGCCCTTTCCCTCGTGCGGAGGTCGACCCTCTTCAGGATCTCTGCCTCTACCTCCTTCTCGGGCTGGTACGGCTCCTGGCGCGGCTCTGCAGGTGCTGGCTCCTCAAGGTCTGGGTGCTCCAGGCCATGAGCTGCTAGGTGCCTGTCAATCAGGGTCAAGGCTTCTCTCCTTACAACTGCCCTCTCTCTCCTCCTTTCTGCTCTTCCCTCTGGCGAAGGAGCCTTTTCTGATGAAGGTAATGGGGCCTCCTCTCTCTGCAACCTCTCCCCTGCCTGGCGAGTGCTCCCTGGTGCATCCCCGAGTCTCAAACCCACCGCTGGTGTCTGAGGGGGCGTGTCCTCTCCAACCTCTATCACTTTCTTCCCTGCACGTCTCCCCTCATCGCCCAACCCTCTCTCTCGCTGAGTATCCTGGACCTCCTCCCGTGGCATCCCCTCTCGTGGTACCTCCTCCTGTGACACCTCCCTTCGTAGCACCTCCTCTCGTGGTACATCCTCTCGTGGCACCTCCTCTCGTGATACCTCCTCCCGTGGCACCTCCTCTCGTGGTACCTCCTCTGCCTGTTCTCCATGCTCCTCACCCCGAGGCGACGCCCTCCATCGAGAGATATCCAAATGCGTCTCCAACTCCCTCCAGGGCCCCTCAGATGTTGGCGGCTCCTCCTGTGTGTGTGCTGGAGACCTCCTCAATCCACCCTCGGTAAACCGATGGAACTCCACTGGTCCCAACCCACACTCAGGGTATGCCCCTCGCTCCTCAGCCTCTGGCTCCGGCTCCGGTTCCTCTTCTCTTCTGGCTAGAGCCTTCCGCCCTCCTCGAGACGGTCTTGCCTCCCTAGGTTCAGGGTCCCTTTGCCTCTGACTCCACTAACGCCTCTCAACTTTGGGCGGAGGGGCGTCCGACCATCGAAAGGCCTCTCTCAGATGTGCCCTGCATCTCTCCCAGTCCCGGGCCATGTCTCTGACCTGCCTAGCCAGTGGTCTTTCCGCCTTCCTAGTCCAGAGCGGTAGTGTCTGCATCCAATCATCTCTCGGTATACCTTGCCCCTGCATGAACCGCTCAAACGCGGGGATGAAGTCCGACGCATTTCCAATCTCCAGACGGGTCGGCCTGCCATCAGGTCCCACAAGCGCGGGTCGCAGCCCCTGCATCCTCAACTCCACCTCTGACCTCGTCGTCACCTCCCTACGGATCCGTGCGACGGGCTCCTTGAATCTGTCGACTCCCCTCAGCCTCTTAATCTCCTGGGTCACAGTCCAACCCATACGCCGCGTATGCTCCCAGAAGCTGTCTAGGAATATCTCGATGTCGCCACCATAGTACTCTGGAGTGTTCTCTCGATGGCGAGGCTCATGCCGCTCATATCCTCCTGAAGCGCCCAACGGCCTCCGAGGCGGCCGCGTCCCCTTCCCTCCTTTTGGCATGGCTGTCTTCGTAAAGTCAGACCTGCACAACAGGCGAAGGAGACAACAGGCACACATTGGGGTAAGCAAACAAGTGATAATCAAAGCAAGCTCAGACCAGACCACCCTCATGCAGCATGCATCCTATCTGACCTACGCACCCTATCGCTTCTATTCTAAAGACAGTCAGATCATCTCTCTTACCTCTTCTCTTGCCACAAATTTTTTCAATCGCGTTCCAGATACCCAATCCTTCCACTCAGTCTCATTTAGCTCTTCAATCTGGTACGCTCCGAAGTCTATAACCCGTACGATCCGGTAGGGACCTAACCACCTCTTATCGAGTTTCCAGGACCATTGCTTCTCCAAAGATGAATCGTACAGGAGTACGACGTTCCCAACTGTCAAAGGTACTTTCCTCACCCGCGCAAACAGATCCCATCGAGTCTTATTATCCATACGGCTTCTCGCCACCTGATCGGACGCCTCCTGGATCCTTTCTTCTATCACCCCTATCTGCCGCGCCCGAATATCGAACAATTCTTCGAATGACAGGCTAACTTCCAGATCCTGGCGCCTCCATGTCTTAAGAAAGCTCTCGATAGGGAAGGTGGCGTGCTTTCCATACCACAGCGTCGCCGGTGCGTACTTGGTGGATCTTTTTACTGTAATGTTCTCGACAAAGAACGCCGCCCTTAGGTATCTTGGCAATTGATTAGGCCTACCTTCGGTCCACTTAGCCAAGAGGCTCGTAATGGTACTATGTCCTCTCTCCACGGGAGTATTTGCCTGAGGGTGCGCGACCGTGGTGTAGTTAGCTGCTACACCATACCTTGATAACAATTCTTGCACCTCCTGGCAGGTAAACTCCGATCCCCTGTCCATACGAATTCCCTGACGAAAAGATCGCGCAGATAGTACTCCTCGATACAGCTCACCAAGATTGACCCGGTCTTTGTGCGAATAGCACGCCCGTCTACGAATCCAGACAGGTTATCGCGCACATCGAAGATATGGTTATAGCCCTGATCCCCAAGCGACATAAAAAGTAGATCGAGATGCACTACAACCCCCACCTCTCGCTCTAGCCTTAGATGTAGCGGTTCTCCTTGCCCCTGAATAGCACGCCCGTCTACGAATCCAAATAGGTTATCACGCACATCGAAGATATGGTTATAGCCCTGATCCCCAAGCGACATAAAAAGTAGATCGAGGTGCACGACAACCCCCACCTCTCGCTCTAGCCTTGGATGTAGCGGCTCTCCTTGCCTTAAACGGGATCTCTCCTTGCAGGGTACGCAAGATCGGCAGAACTTCCCGACCATGTCCATCATCCCATCCCAGTAGTACAACTCACTTATTTTGGCATATGTGGCTTGTACCCCTCGATGCCCTCCTGCAATGCCGTCATGAAGCGCTGCTATGACGTCAATCTGACGGTTCCTACCGCAGACGACTCTCCTGGGATTCCCTCCCTCTCTTCTTACGAAAAGGTGGTTGTTTCACACTAAGTAGCGCTGCAGCATCCTCTGAGCCCTATCGCTTGCATCCCTTAACCGCATTTCGCAAGACAAAAGGAGTCTCAGCTCTAGGTAGATCCCGTCATACTCCTCCGCACGAAAGGCCTCCTTAATCTCCCCTTTCTCGAACTCGTCGTCCTGCCTCTCGGGCACTTCGTCCACATTCCCTGCCGGGTTCAACGAGCCTGACTGGTCGAGGCTTTCCTGCAATAACATGTTGACGAGGAGATACATTCCTCCCATCAGGTCCTCATGTCGTTCTACCTCGCCTGGTCCTTCCTCGATCGTCCTCATGTCCTCCATCAGACTATGCGAACTAGCCAGCGCCAACTCCATCATCCACTGAACATCCTTACCACCCCAGGGATCCTCTTCTTCAAAGGGWTTAAGGACTAGTTCGGCCCTCCTTTCATACCCATTCGGCGCTTGCCAGATAGGATAGCCTACACAGCTGGGCACCCGCGGCGACCACTTGTTGATATGGAGACGGACATCTTCTTCCTGATCCAGTAATCCATCAACTGGGGGCGTATTCTCCACCGCCTCCCCTTCCTATTTATCCCAGTTGATCCGACTCAGCCCGTCTGCCCGGTTCTTACTGTCAGGAATCCGTTCCAACTCGAAGTTAAACATCCAGATGTATGTCAGCCATCTGACAACCGTCGGATCCGATGGAACGTAATTCCTTAGAGAGTAGGCCAGGGCGGTCGGGTCCACTCTCAAAATAAACCTCCTGCCAAAGATGTAGTTCCGGAAGATCCGCAGACAGTGGAGGACAGCAAGGGTCTCCCTCTTGAACTGAGAGTAGTTCCTCTCTGTCGTACAAAGAGTCCGACTCCCAAACCTCAGGGGCCTTTCCTTTCCTTCCATGTCTGCCTGAATTAGAACTCCCCCTATGGCAGTCGGACCCTCATCCGTTTCGACAATGAAGGGTCGCGTCTCCGTGGCATCATAATCAGACATCCTCAATACCAGCCCTCCTTTTCGAAATTCCTTGTTCATTCTAGCCACCACCTCCTCTTGCTCTTCGCCCCAAACCCATTCCTGATCTTGACGGACTAACTTCCTCAGGTGTTGACATCAATTATTGAGTGGAATGGAACTGGCCACTCAGTAATCTTGTCCGTCTTTTTCACACCCGGCCTTCGGCCCTTCTCGCTGCAGACGAACCCCAAAATTGTTGCTTCCCTCACGCAGTGCGTGGATTTGGCCTCGCTCGCTGTGAGGTTATGCTCCTCGAGCAGGCTCATGACCCTTTCGAGGTCCTGGATGTGCTTCCAAACAAAATGCCTTACCCCTGGCAAGACTTCGTCACTTCCTTCACTGTCGGCCCCTTCACTGCTAAATCGTCGATATATGGCTGTGTGATATGGGGGCTGACTGACTGCATAGTCCGAATCATGGCCCGTTGGACCATTGCTACCGCGTTGGTCCACCCCTGCGGGGCCACATTCATGTGGATTAGTCCTCGCGGCGTGTGCATTGTCGTCACCGGCCTATCCGGTGGGTAGACCGGGAACTGATCATATCCTGAGTAAAGGTCTATAAGTGAGATTATAGGCCTTCCATCAGAGGATTCTGACAAAGCATCCGCATTTGGCAGTCCTCCAACATCCCGCACGGTCACCGCATTCAGCCTCTGCAAATCTTGCACCCACCGCAGCGTCCCGTTAGGCTTGATGAAGCAGAACTACGGGGACGTATACAGTCCACTCGAATAGTCGGCGACGTGCGTACGTATCTTGCCTTCGAGGTAATCCACCACCTTCTTTTCCTCGTCAGGATTAGGATATTGCACCCCTCTCATGTTCCAAGGCTCGTGTGGCACGGTGTGGATGTAGATCATAGATATCTTGTCCACATCCAGCCTGCCACGCTCCTCGTCACTAAATGTATAGGCGCGGTGCCTCCTCTCCATCAATTCCACCATCAACGTTCGTTCCTGAGGTAGCCAGAAGTCGGGTTCCCCTAAATCAACTTCCCCTCGTTCCCTTCGTTGATACGACAGCTAGAGCACTCTCCCTCCCCTTTCTCAGCCCCGCTGTGCGCTGACGACGAGCTTTTCACGCTAGAATACAGGGACAAAAAATTGCTGACACCAACAACCCTCTCGAAAGAAAGTCTTCCCTCGCTGTCCCCTCTGCTCGCTGACTACACGTCACTCGCTCCCTTCTCTTTTGATCATCATAGCTCATATCACCCTCTCTTTCTCTCCAACAACTAGCTTCCCTCTCTCCCTTTTCGTTGACTCTCTTTTCTCCGCATCCCTCCGGGTCGTGCTAAATACCACCCCTTTTGCGTGCACAGGCTTGATCACATCTCGCTCTTCACTTTCTTCGAACTCTCTCCCTCATAGCGAACGTCCCTCTCTCACATGCCTCATTCTTAGTTCACCACCTCACAAGATTCCTGCGGGTAAGTACGCGACTAGTTACAGCGAAGACACACAAAGAAAAAAGAAACAGTCAAGGCGCTGTCGAGTTATCCCATTTTCTGTCTGGGCAACACACGTCTTTTTTTTCTGCCAAAATAAACGAAACAAATATCTCTCCCGGAATTGCTGCCTAAACCTCGCCGAGGTATCTGTCTTGTTGCTTCGACAAGGACGAACGTCACGTCAACCTTACCATGCACAATTACCTTTCCCACACTCTTTTCTTGCTCCAATAGCACACTACTGTCCGGTTGACGTCAGCATCACCAAACATGCACGTCTCTCCTCCTGCCCTCTCTCTCTCTCCTGCTGCTGACCCCCCTCTTACTCTGCCTTGGAAACGTCCATTTGTCGCTCGCGTATGCACGCCCCTGTCGCACTGACTCTTCGCACACCGAAGTAAGGTTGACGTCAACCTTTTTCGGCACGTACATTCAACTCTCGCCTCTCTCTCCGCTGACTTTCACCTGCCCCTCTCCAGAGTGCCTACCTGTTGACTCTCCCTAACCTGTTCTTGGTCCTTGCCTACAGCCCCGCAACTCCCCTTAATTGTCTAGGCTCTGAGTCGGGCTAGCTTCAAGCTCATGCCACGCGTGCACTGGTTGTGCTCATAACTGCCTGAGCCTGGCTCTCCCTGGTCTCTCTCCGCTCACACACGCACCCCACGGTCTACACGCATCGAGAGCTCGATGGGCCAGCCTCAGCTCGCTTGACTCTAGTACGGGCTGAGCTAGCTTCGAACCCGTCCTCTGCAGGTGCCGCGGCTCGGTGGTGCCTCTGAACCTCACCTGGCCTTTTCCAGGATCGAAGGTCTGTCACTACCACTCTCCCCACTCCGTCTCTGAGTCTTGATCCCAATGGGTCTGCTCACTGTTTGCCACGTGTAGCCTGTACACACGCGTAATCGCTCTCCCTCCTTTCTCTCTCACGCTGCCAAAATGTCGCCCGCATTCTGCTGTCGCACTCTCCCCCTACACGTGTCTTTTTTCCCTGCTCTGCTTCTCACCCATTCCGCGGCCTTTGGGTGTCAGTTGTCGTGAGCTGGCCTCGGGTCCCTCTTCCACCATCTTCACGGCCCGGTGATGCCTCTGGATCTCCCCTGGTCTATTCCAGGACCTGAGATCTGTCTCCCGGTCTCCCGCTTCGCTCATTTCACTCTCACCACCCGAATCCCTGTCCACGTGGGCCTGTTCAAGGTCCGCTGTGTCCATTGAGGTCTCGGTCTCATGATATGAGACCGTAACCTGCAACCTTGCAGTCACTCCGTCCCTCCTGCAGAGCCTCTCCGCACGGTCTTTAGCCTCCGTGATCGCGTCCTGCAGTTTCCCATCAGTCCGGATCTCCACCTCTTTCGCCCCTTCCACGTTAATCTTCATTCTCACGTCATCACCCCCATCATAGTTGAGCATGATTGTGATCTAGGGCCCCTCCCCGGACATGGCTTCCATCAGATCTGGTGGTACCAGTAGCAGGGCCTATAGCCATGCAACGCCATAGCTAGGCTCAGCTAGACAATCAGCGCACCAGCCCCGCCTACTAACCCGAATAGCCGGTACCAGCTACAGGGTACACAGACAGGGCCTTCAGATAGGTTTACAGGTCCACTTCGCCACTCCATTCCCCCTTCATCGACTAGGCCGCAATCGCATAGCGAGACCGTCTGAGCCCCCACAGTATAAGACAATCCTTCCCTCTTTGTAGGATCGCTGTCTATCATGTCTCCGGACTCGGCATAGAAAACCCAGTTATTTTCTTGCCGATTTGTGTTTTTATTTGACCAAGTTTTTAAATCAAGTTTGGATAAAATAAGATTAGAATGAAAATAAAATAAAGCGAGATAAAATGAGACAAAGAAAAGAAAAATAAAAACGAGAGGCATAACGTCAATGGTCTCATCTTCTGCACTCCTCCCCTTTTGCGCAGAAGTGACCTACAGACGCAACGCCGAGGTCCCATAACGAGTTATGAATGGATGCCCGCCCCTCTTTTAAAACCTACCGTACACTTACCATTATCGGGTACCCGTGTCCGATGGTAAGGAGGGGGCCTATGACCTCCTTTARGGGGTGATGGGCTCCCTACCGATGCGGCYGCGGGGCGCCCCTCTTTAAGGGCCTAACCGCGCGGCACTCAGTCGGCGCTCATTCTCAGACGGAATAAGCGGAGCCGGCCAACTCGGACCACAGCTCCAAATTCGGACTGTTGGCCTTCCCGCGATATGACAAAAGGAAAAGGAAGGCCGCGCCTGAAAACCGGTAAGGTAACAATAATAATGATAATAATAATAATAATAATTATAATAATAATAATAATAGATGTGGAAAGAAAAGGATGATGCTTCAAATTTCCTCCGCGCCGCATCTTCGCCTGAATAGCGGTCCAAGTCTATGCACAAGYCCAGACCCCGACTTTCATCCTTACCTYCTTTTCTTTCTTTTTCACACTTCCCTTTTTCAGGCCCCACTGTATCTGCCCTGAAGTACAACTACTGGGGTCCTACCGTATGGGGCCTAGATGCACAGACCCGGTAGAGGTGATATTCGAAGGGTTGGGCCTGCCTAGGCCGYAGTACCACCGCCCGAACTCGGAGTCCAATCCTATTGGCCTCCTTACGAAACGTCATTCCAATCAAGGAAAGCGAAAAAAGGAATAACGATAACAATAAATAAATAATAATAATAAAAGAGTGAGACGCTACGATAACTGGGGATCAGTCTCAATCAAATTTCCCCCGAACTAAAGCTAGTAGTCCTGCTGCGTTAAGTAGACCTTTGTTTTTTTTTTCTATTTCTCTTTTCTTCCTGCTATTTGTTTAGCCCTTTGTTTCTCTGACTGCTATCAGTGTCATATATCTAACCCATAACCCTGTAGAGGGGCGCTTGGTGCATAATAGAAAAGACAGCACCCATCCTTCGACTTTCGCGTCCCAGGGCAAGCCCGGCGGCTACCACGACCACAGGCCGATCGTGCTCTGCTGTACAGCAGGGCGCCGAGCCAGCGTGGACCAATGGAAGCCCTGTGGCACACCCTTTTGCTGAGGGCAACGTCACCACGGCAGGTCCGAGCCGGAAAACAATCCAAGTACCAGGCCTACAGCAAGAAAACGAGCCTAGTGATTAGTAAGTCGGGACAAAAAACTGGCACTGAGCAAAGACCTGCTACACAAAGGAGGGTCCGGACACCGCGCCCTCCGACAACGTGCGGTCATGTGTGCAGGGTGCTGCTGAGGGCTGTGAAACCGCGCGCTGATTGAGCGGGCAGTCGAAGCTAAAGATTTTGAGCGCCGCTCAGTCCCGTGCTCAAAGCGCCTTGAGCAGGGTTTGAGCGGGCGGGGGGATATTTTTTTGGGGGGTGAAACATGCTAAAAATAAAAATAAAAAACTATAGGGTTGTAGATCTCTTTGAGATCTACAACTCTATGTTTTTTATTATATTTTTTGAAATTTTGCTATATTTAAAAAAAATAAAAAACGTAAAAAGATATGAAAAACTAAAAACAAAAGATGAAATGGGTGGTTTTTTTTTTTTTTTTTTTAGGGGTTTTTTTTTGTGTGAACCAAAAAAAAAAAAAAAAAGAAAAAAAAAAAAAATTTTAAATTTTTTTGGGAAAAAAAACCCCATTTTTTTTTTTTTTTTTTTTAAATTTTGCTATATTTAAAAAAAAAAAAAAAAAAAAAAAAAAAAAAAAAAAAAAAAAGGGGGGGGTTTTCCCCTGTCTCTTATACACATCTAGATGTGTATAAGAG